CCCCCCCCTTTCGCCCCCCAGACCATATATGGCCTTAATCGCTGTTCACTCTTCCCATTGGTCCCGAATCCCACCCCTCGTGCCTACTTCATATATAAACCAGCACTTTTCACTTCCCAGTCATTGCAGCTACAGCTATCTCTATTCGCACGCAACTCAATTACCCTGAAGATGGAGGCGATATGTTCCTCCGAAACGTCGGTTAAAACCAAGAATACACGGCGCCAGATCCCAGAAGACGACTTTCTTCAAGTGAGGTGCTGTTAAAATACAATATTACAGGGTAATTGACGCCAGATAGTTGTAAACTTAACAGAAGTTTGAAATGAAAGTTACGGTCAAACACGAGAAATCGTTGTTTTTTCATGTCAAGGGTAATAATATTTCGTAATAGTAAACAAGAGAAGTGAAACGCGGAACACAGTGCGGGTGTGCAGTTTCTGTTACACAACTAAATTCAGTTCTTGTGTGGAATCCTTGTGAGGAAGAGTATGAGCCAAGAGGAACGGCCATTTGCGTAAGGAGATGCGATCCAATTGGCCTTGCAGCAAGAAGATGAGATCATCCAGGTATCGGATATCTCGCAGATCCTCTCCGAGCTGTCTTGCTTCTTGAATCATCAGAGATGCAGCGCTTTCCATTGACTGCAACACAGGTAGGGCATCTGTAAATTCAGATTTGACACAGAGCAAGTACGACAAATATGAATTATTTATCATGGAATACCAGAATTTCTTCACTTGTGTAATCTATAGGCGATATGGCCGCGCCATAGCTCAAGCGGTTAGTCGCTGGCTTCCCACCGCGGCGGTCCGGGTTCGATCCCGGGATCTGGTCAAGTGGGATTTGTGGTGGACAAAGTGGCGCTGGGGCAGGTTTTCTCCGAGTACTTCGGTTTCCCCTGCCAATCTTCATTCCACCAATTGCTCCACAATCACCCTCATCTGTCATCTGGGGCTGGTACAATAGGCCAGAAGTGGCCGCAGTGCAAGGGACTTAGTTCCACCTCAATAGCAATAAAAAATCTATAGACGAACGGCTGAATTGATCTCTTATTTCCAGGGTCAGCACAACTATGATACTTTATCAGTAACTTATATAAATTATTTCTTTAAACAGCGGAAATCTGTAATTATTTTTTGAATGCGTAATTTTTAATAACCTTTCTTTCTAAGGAGTAAAACTGAATTTAGTTCATTCGACTTGCACAGACAAATAATTCTAGTTAAATTTTAAGTTCCACGTTGCTGGGTTATCTGTTTTCTGAACAATGTATTTACACAGGTTAGTGTAAATTAAATAATCACAGCTTCAGAGCTCCGAGACCCAAAATAAACATGTGTCTACTCGTTTTTTGGGCATGATAGAAGGGTATGTGAGAAAGCAACCAGTCCAGCACGGAGACTATTATGAATAATGTAACATCATTTCGAGTGCTACAGAACTGGCCCCACATTTGGAGTGGTATTAGTCGAGAATATCGATTTTCAAGAATGTAGAATTTCTTCTTATTTGATAAAAATATGCCTCTTGTTGTAAAGGCAAATAAAGGCAAATCCTTTCCTCTTCCTAAGTACTGTATCATACAGACGTTTGAGAGAGTGGAGGCAAAGCTCTACGCATTTTAACCTCTACAGTAGATGGAGGTAAGTGGTCACATTTACGCTTGGGCCACTTTACCTCCGGGAAAAGGGCACTTGGTACCAATTGGATAATAGAGGAGCGTTCCAGAGCCGGCCTGGGAACGGTGGCTGGAAGAAAAATACCACGGTCTTGCCATATTTAGGCAGTTAGAAGCCGGTTGTACATGCAGGCAGCACGAGTTCGATACCAGGCTAGGTCATGTGGGAATTTGTTATGGATAGAGTGGCACTGGGGCGAGTTTTCTCTGAGTACATAATCCGAGACTGGTACAATAGGTCTAATAGTGGCCGACGTAACAAATAAAGTCAGTCTCACCACACCATACGAATAAAAGGGAACAGAAGAATTCCAGCTTCTGCTTGAGACCGCGACTAGTTCCTCCTCCACATAGTTACCTGAAGGTAAGCGGCCTCCGTAGTCTAGGGGTAACGTTCCCACCTCATGACTCAAGGTACGCGGGTTCAAACCCGGCGGAGGTCGTGGAATTTTTAGGGGCGGAAAAATTCTCTAGGACTCTAGGAGACCTGTGAGCAAAATTAGGCAAGTTTCCCGCCCAAGTAGTTTCCAGTATCTCTGGTAGATGAGGGAAGTATCGAGGTACCGAGGGCCGACCTCGTTGGCTGAACGGGGCTGATAGCACGCACCTGTACTGGTAGGATATAGCGACTGGTAGAATATCAAAGGGGGGCGTACAATAGACTATTAGTTGCGGGGCATGGGGAAACCCACCCCCTCCAATAATAATAATAATAATAATACATGAAGGTAGGCGTAGGAGCTATATCCGAAACATCGTATAGGCCTATATCAAACATACATTACTCAATGAACATTGTCCGACGTAACACTGGTAACAGACTAATTGCCTTTGCAAATTATTCTGTTGTTTGGGAACGAAAGAAGTGCTTAGATATGACATTCATCTCTAGATAATATAATTTCATGAAATTCTGAATATGATGACTCTTGCAATTTATTAGTTCACCGTTATTATTAACTTACACGTAGGCTCCTAGTCATTCAAAATGTGGCAACAGCGGTACTCCATCTAACTTCTGAATTCAGTAATGTAAATGCTTGATGCTTTCAGCGCTTCAGCATTCAGTCGATTCAGTCACTGTCAGCAGACAATGCACGTGGGCAGGGAGTGTAGCATCATAGACAGAATTCAGAATTTTACACAGAATTTATATTTAAACAAGACCGCCTCTGTGGTCTAGTGGTCAGAGTTCCTGGCTACAGAACCAGAGGTCCCGAGTTAGATTCCAGTGCTACCAGATTTTCTGAGAAATAGTGGGTCTGGAACGGGGTCCACTCAGCCTCGTGAGGATAACTGAGGAGCTACTTGAATGGAAAAGTGGCGTTCCCGGTCTAGAAAACCGAAATTAACGGCCGTGGGATCCATTGCGCTGAGCACGTGACACCCTCTATCCGCAAAAGTTGGCACTAACTTCGCCGACAAGCGGCTGTCGCTCGGTCGATATAGTTCACTTGCGGACCAAAGCCACCGTTTTTTTTGTTTGTTTATTTATTTATATTTAACCGAGTTATTTTGTCAATACCTTTCAATTTTAAAGCACGAATGTTAGTAACTGAATTAACCACATCACGATATGACACAATTTAATGGAGACAGCGAGAAATCTGCCTACTAACTTTATAAACTTATCGACCATCTTTCGGAGTTACAATACAGCAACAAACATGATGAAGCGTTAAGATGGTTTTATTAATTTTAAATGAAGACTTTAACTGAATCATGTTCAAATGGAAAGGTGAGACGCATAGAATTAAGAAGCATCATGTAGCACATATGTTTACATGCAAAGACACTTGATAATCATTGTACATAAGTTGAAGTTGGCGGCTTGATGAATATTGAATGACAGGTGGTATGGCAACATTGATATTAGTGGTTCGCATTATAAAGGCTGCTTAGTGTTCGTAAATTTGGCCTTAAAAATGAAGCAAGGACATCACTGTGTAATGATATTCCTCATAAAAATTAGGTCGTTCAGTAATTCTAACGAATGCTATCCTTTTGTGTTGCGTGAAAGTTTAGTTGTTTTGGGGAAGACAGTAACAAATGAAACTTACGTTCACGAAGAAGTTAAGAGCAGATTAAAGTCGTGGAACACCTCTTACAGCTCATTTCTGAATCTTATGTCTTTCAGTCTTCTGTCTCACGTTGTTAAATCAAAATAGGCCTACACAAAACTACAAATATTTTGTTGATTTTATTGGATTGAAACTTAGTTTTTCCTCATGAGGATCGACTTAGTGTGCATGGGAACTGGGTATGCTATATCGAGTTTTAAAATTATGAAATTCTTCGTTGTCACGCCGTATAGTTTGGTAAACAGGTTTCTAACTTTTCGAAGGTACCTGCTGCCTCTTTCCAAAGATCAGCTCTTCCCTGTGGCAAATATTTCCATTGGCAGAACCTGACCATGCGTTAGGTTAGCGACTTCTTCACGGCCTTCAGGAAACTTAGAAATCATAGATATTTTCACGCGACAGGGTCTCTTCCTCATACTGTTTATTTGACCGACGACGAATTTTTGATGGTTTCACGTTCTTTTTCGTTAGAAATTTGACGATACGGCACTGTTCTACAGCAGGAGTGACAGGATATGAGGCCATCTTGTGCTAACTCTAGTACCCAGAAGCAGGGCGCATGGCCGTCTGCTAGGCAGTGGGGTATATTGTTGCTACCAGCTATTCGTAAAATTTTTACATCTATGGAGCCAATGTCTTCAAAAATGATAAAGTCCCGATTAACCTTGAACCATCCTAATATGTAAGGAGTTCTTAATAAATATTGGTTTCCAAAGACGTTTTAGCTGACATTTTAAAATTAATAACACCGTACTACTGGCTGGGAAGAACCTGGTGTACACATATCTTTACAAGTATTTCTTTTAGACACTACCATTTCTCCTACCGAAGAGAAATGCATTATTCCGCTTCAGCTGTACCACTTAGGCCTACCTGAAAATCTCGCTGCAGTATGCTGATGTCTGTGTGCAACCGTCCGGCCTCTGCTTGTAGAACTCTGAGCTTCGAGTCCAGTTCAGTGACGGTCCGCAGGAAGCCACCTCTCGGTCCCTCCAGCTCTCGATCCGTGTCATGTTCGATTAACAATTCTGATTCTACGAAAGTAGATAGTCCCTTATCTACCTTAGAACCCGAATCGTCTTGCAGCTTTGTTCCGAAACCTGGTAGATATTTCATGCTCCTGCTCGGAGCTGCAGTCTTTTTAAACTGTCTTCCAGTTGTTACTTTGGCTGGACTCCGAAATTGTGGTTCAGAGTCAAGATTAAGGATTATCTCTAGTTGTCTACGATGTGGTGAATGTGGATTGATAAGTGCTGCCAACTCTTGTCTGGAGGACGATGAATCCTCAACCGTTTTCTTGCTCATGATTGATTTTGATCTTAAATTTCGAAGGCCTGGTATTGTCATTCTAAGCGGGGGTGCTGGATCCATGGGTTCTATTTGATTTGGAATTATTTCGTCCCTTCTATCATATTTATTGTTAGTTATGCTGTGTTCAAAATCGAATATTCTTTGATTTAATTCTGTCTTATGCAGCCGGCTACCTGATGCTGATGATTCGTCACTTGTCATTTGTGGTCCTTGACGGCACAAGCCACTAGTAGGCACATTTGGCTCTGGAATTCGTGGTGGCTTTACTGCATTAGGAAGAAGGTCTGGCAACCGCCACCCAAAATATTCGTAATTCGTAATTTGTATCTCTCCAATCGGCGCAAATTCCTCTACGTAGGAATTCATTCTCCTATCATATAGAGTCTCGTGCTTCCACTGAAATTTAGACAAACGTGCGAGGAGTTATGAAGTGCAATAGTAAATTTAGTTGATCAGTTTTAAACCTTAAAATTCCGTAGCTGTGTTCATGTAAGACATGTAACGGCAATAGATTGATCACACATACGTGCTAATGTGACTCAAAGCAAACTTATTTTTACTCTTTTTTTTTACCCACATCTTCTTCGTTCCCCAGAAAGTCTGTAATTTTAGTTAAATAATAATCACTTTTACTCACAGAAATTTGACTTATTTTCTTTCGGTCAATTCGATAATTCAGAGACATTTAATGTACGCGATGTGTTTTCAGTGTTCCAGTTGCCACAGCACTACACAAGTACGTATTGATGCAGTTTCTCTGGTGTAGTACTGAAACAATGCACAAATCATATTTTTAGCGTTCATGTTTGTCAAACTTAGAATTGTTCATTAATTTTACTGGTCCTTGGAATATACTGAAGTTTCAATTGTATTACATCTCTAATAGTTATTCCATCCCCACAGGTGGCATACAGAAACATCTGTCACTGAAATTACAGGAACAACTATAGACTCAAATGAAACGAAATAAAAATTAAGACATTCATTTGTACGTGTCGTAGCGTGCAAAACTGGTGATTACATCAGTCATGCTCTGGTCTGCATGAGGCTCTATAACACGCCCTTTTTCAAGCAGTAACCATTTCATAGTTTCCACTAATATCATCATGATCATTCGTATTTCCAGCTTTACACTTGCTTCCCGCCCAGATTTCCCTCAATCCGCGGAAGGAAGTCGACTCGAAGCATTAACATATCATTACAGATATCATTTTGTGTAAGAGTTGAGGTGTTCACGGCCGCGACTGTGAAGATGTGGCGCCGTGTAGATCTTGTGTGAACCGACGTTTCGGAGGAATGTATCGCCTCCATATTCAGGGTAGAAAAATCTGTGAGCGAGGAACCAGCATGAGCACGTGGCTGCATTCCAGACCACACAGATATTGAGGTTGATTGGTGAGCTTCAGGCTCCGACCTCTTTACCTACAATTGCCTCTAGTCTGCAGCCACCTGCTCATGCTGGTTCCTCGCTTCCCGATTTTCTACCCTGAAGATGGAGGCGACACGTTCCTCCGGAACGTTGGTTCACATAAGATCTACACGGGGTCACACCCAATAAGATGGCATTTTTCAACAGTAATAGTGTTTCAAAAGGTTTAGTTTAATTTTTATTATAGTTTTACTTGTATATTATTAGCATATTCTTTATTTAATTAACCAAATTTCTTTCCTTATAAAAACAAAGTCTTGTGAGATTGTCATGCTGTATTAGTGTGCGTGTGTGTCCTTCAATTTAAACTTTTGAACAATTTTACCGATTTCTCTACACTTGGAAGGAAAAATCTTCCATTCAAGCCTGTTTGAACTCCATATTTTTTATTTCTTCCAATCAGTAATTGCACATGCCGGGCATGAGACCTTGTAAGGTGCGCGCGACAGTAGCCTCACTTTCTGAACTGTCCTTAAGTGACGTATGGTAATAAATTCTTGGAAAAATATGCTAATTTTATTATGGCACTTTTGTAGACTGTAAAATATTGTTATTTGCGGTAAAATTTAATTTAGTTTTCGGTTTGGCGATGACTAAGGAAGCTAGTCACGTGAAATTTGGTGCGGAGGTAGATAGCAAACATACCTACTTATGAAGAAAGCAGTCTTCTGGAATTTGGCACCGTGTATATATGGTGTTAACCGACGTTTCGGAGGAACGTATCGCCTCCATCTTCAGGGTAGAAGAAATATAAGAAATCTGCAAGCGAAGAGTCCGTGAGAACCGGTAAAAGCAGACTGGTCCTCCGAAACGTCGGTTAACACCACATATACACGGTGCCAAATCCCAGAAGACTGCTTTCTTCATAGTCACCGCCGTGAAAGCCTCAAATCTTACATACCTACTTATGTTGTATGAAAAATGTTTGCAAGTCAGCAATTACAAAAGTAGATTAGTACTCGCGACCATATTATTGTCTCAGATTTGAGACTTCCTTTTTCGTCGCCCGATTGATCACTCGTCCCTGAACCGAACGAATTCTGTCACTTATATAGCTGAGGAACGGACACGCATCACAGGGAACACATATCACGTAACCACCACCAACCGCTGCGTGACGTCACCGCGGACATGGAATACACAGCCTCCTCTACTGTTGCGTGCTGGACCGTGTTTACAAAGCTGTTGCTTGACAACGCGTTGATCAAATCCGTTACAATATGGATTCTATTACTGCAAATAGAGCTCCGAGGATTCTTCGTAATTCTCTATTCTTCCATAAAATTCTTGTTATATGATTAGGGAAGGAAAGCATTGCGTGAGCCAGAGAGCGCTATGGAGGTATTTTCTGAACCTCACGTTATGCTACCATGCTTAGTTTGAATATGGCTAGTATTAAGATAAGTGAATTTGTTTAGTTCTGCCATATGCAGTAGGATTTTATTAGAAACCCAGTTTTAAATTGGCCTATATCCTCTCCAACTCAATTGAAAACAAAAGTAACTTACTGAAAAAAGGAATTGTTAATATAGTTTATCTTTTCAGAAAATACACTAAACTTAACGGTGACTAATAATTTCAGATTACCACAATTCTCGCTGTTGATACAGAACAAATGACCGTGACGCAATATAATCCTATACTTGATAAAACTTTGTCCAACAAATACTTGAAAAGTGTAAAATGAAATTTCACCTTTTCACGGCGGCGGAGATCCATATTGTAATGATCTGGGTTATGACACTCTTTGGTCTGTCGGTAGAGGGCTACTAACATTGCCATGTAGAGGACAGCAGATTCGTACGAAACTTTTGTAACATTCTACCAGACTACAAGGTGTCATGACCCAGAAGACCACAGAAGAAATATAGAATGAAAACCACAGCCGGCCTGATGAATTTTATACAAAAATTTTATGCCACTAAATTACTGATAACTTTCCTTGAACAATATTTTATCAGAATATCAGTGCTACTATAAATTAAGAACTGCATTTTGAGAAGCTATGAAGATATCTGCACTTACTGCTGCTTGTCATTCTCGAATGTTGAAGCTATTTCATCCACATGCTTACTGACGAATGTACCTGGTATTAAGTATGAACTAGTTCTGTATGGAAGGTCAGTCTGAGGTAGGCTCGTCTTGCAGAAAACCGATAACACTATCTCACTATTTCCTGAATCACGTGACTGCGATTATGATAACTTTTTTGCGATTCGAATCAGTAAAAATACAATACACGTACGTATCATATTACTGGGCTATTGATGCCCTTTGTATGATGAGCATGTCATCAGAGATATAACCTTGATGGCATTCTTGATTGCAAGAACTCACATGACTTTGAAGAGAACTGTTGGTTGCCTTGTGAGTGCCTGTTCCAGTGGGTCCTTGGTATAAATTGCGTGCAATAAATGCATTATGGAGTTCACATCCTCCTACCCCCATGTTATATGTCCCAGACTGCGAACGAATTTTGATTAAAATCTGAGGCGGTCGTGCTATAACTCAGGCGGTTAGTCGCTGGCTTCCCACAGCGGCGGTTCGGGTTCGAGCACAGGTCAGATCATGTGGGATTTGTGGTTTCCCCTGCCAATTTTCATTCTACCGACTGCTCCACATTCATCATCTTCTATCATCCGCTGATGATACAACAGGCCAATTAGTAGCCGACGTACAAAGCGGACTCAGCCTCACCCCACACTAAGAAACCCACTGTGTCCGAGAAAGTGAATATAAATTTTCACGATGATAATTCTGAGCAATGAATATTCCTCTTATCTGTGATTCTTCTGATTGCACTGACGTCAAGATTTTCATTAGCTGTATGTTTATTTACATGTGGCATATCTGCACGTCGTCCAGTCTGGTTCTGGGGTCCGCCCTGCCCCTTATCCAATGAGTACGGCGGGTAAAGCTGTAGAAGCTTGAAGGTAACCACTCACCTCCAACTAGTACCAAAGTTAAGAAAACGTTGATCTACACGCCCATTCCCCCGTGGCGTAGTGCTTAATTAGTTGAGCAGAGGGACAAGTTTTCTTCTACCTTTACAGGTGGAACGAAATGAGAATTCGTTTATGGAATGAGAGAAAATCGAACGAATGTTTGAAAAGTAGGCTCGTATTTTCATTTTAAACGTGGATGAAACCGCCGTACCAAATAATATAAAAGCACAAGAGAGTAAACTGATCCAAACTATGTATACCAGCTTCAAAATCGTATAGTAAAGCGGTAGTAATGGAAGCCATTGGCTGACAGATGTAACAATTTCAACGTGTATGTTATGTCTTGTCCAAAATGCAGTACAAAATTTTCTTATAGGACTGTTTACGTAGATAATGAAATAAGCGGAAAATTTTATTAAGGTATATTAAGGGAAAATGAGTTAACTCCGTTTACAGGACAAACAACATAATGACTGTTAAAGCAGCTGCTCAGAATTCAAGCTACAGTACAAGTTTACTCCCCACGTTGCGCGTGGAAGTTACTTCACCAGTTTCAAGTGGGATTTGTGGTGGAAAAAGTGGCGCTGGGGCTGGTTTTCTTCCAGTACTTCGGTTTCCCCTGCCAATCTTCATTCCACCAAATTCTCCATCATCATAATCACCCGGGGCAGGTACAATAGGCCAATCAGTGGCCGCCGTGCCGAGTGGACCCAGTTGGACTCCACCCCCCACTAAGCGAAATAAACAAGAAAACCGTATTTATATGTCCTTAATTTTTTATGGCGACAGCTCAGTTATGTATGAAAAATACGAGAATAACCATCCAGTGTTTAGCTAATAAACAATTGAATGTCGGTAGGATAAACTGATATACGTGCGTATATTCTCAGACGTAATTCGTTCTGTTAACACGAGGAAGAAAAAGAGAGAAATATTTTAAAGTGTGATTGGATTGAAGAGGATTAGATTTACTTAATTTGGAAGTATTATCATTCAAAGAAAAGGGCAGAAAAATTGGGGTTTTTTGTGACATGCAGTTGTGATTTTCCTCACACACTATTTGCAGACGAACACCCAGACAGTGCCTTCACCAAAATAACCAGTCCTTGCCGCTATTTATCCCCTTAATTTCCATTTAAATTGCAATAGGAGTGGTCTGTCAGTCATAGAGCGACGAGGGTTTTCCATCAGTTGTTTTCCCAGATGACTGACAGATGGAGTTACTCGTCAGTCAGCTTCGGTACATTCCCGATAGGGCTGACCATATCTATACGTATATAGAAGAGAATTACATTGGGACCGTTGTCGAAATTTTAAGTTCCTTATTCGTAATATATTTCATATTAGTCTCTCGAGGTCTGGTTGAGTGTTGTTTCGTTGTACGATAAATGTAACTTGTATATCAGCATAGCTTTATTGCGGGATTCCTTTCGGAGCAACCTCAAATTTCCACAGTTCTTCAAGCATCGGCTTCCTTCGTCGAACTCCTGAACAACACCAACACCAACACCACCACAACCACCACCACCAACACCACCACAACCACCACCACCAACAACAACCCACTCACTCATTCACTCGTGGAGCTGAGCCCTTCTTGAGAAGTTGCAACTTCTGCAGCTACTCAAGAACTTCCCAGGATTTTATGGAACCCGAAGGTTCATCACCGTGTTCATAAGAGCCCTCCACTGGTCCCTATCCTGAGCTAGATCTATCCAATCCATACCATCCCATCCTATCTCTCTAAGATGCATTTTAATATTGTCAACCCACCTACGCCTTGGTCTTCCCAGTGGTCTCTTTCCTTCTGGCTTTCCCACCAATATCCTATATGCATTCCTCTTATTCCCATTCGTGCTACATGCCCTGTCCACCTCATCCTCCTTGACTTGATCATTCTAATTATACTTGGAGAAAGGTACAAGTTATGAAGCTCCTCTTTCCTTCTGGCTTTCCCACCAATATCCTATACGCATTCCTCTTATTCC